CCCCTAACATTCTGTGATTCTGTGTGATTCACTTTTGAAAATGGGATCTCCGGGTCCTTCTGAAAATAAGAACCTGAAGACCTTCAGCTATCAATACTATTGACGAAATTATTTTTGGCTTCAATGACTGCAAGAATTAAAATCCATCTTTTCAAAAAGATGATCCCCCTAGTTTAAGAAATGTTAGTAGAATAAGCCTTTCAGAGAGGTAAAGATTGATGCAAAATCTCTCTACATAGAGAGATAAAAAGAATTAAGTTAAGATTTGCAAATACATTCTGGCACCTAAATGCTATTGATTTCAGTAGGAATTCAATGTATAAATACATTCAAAAATCTGGCCTTAGCTCCAGTAGATGGAGTAAATAGGAGAGGCCAGCGAGATCATCTGTCATTGAAGCATAACTGTGGTAGCTGAACCACACATTGCAGCAGTGCCAAGAACTTTTGTTGAGTCTTAGGAGCAAGGTTTTTACTCTTAATGACTTGAGTACTGGTAAATAAAAGGGAAGACTGGACATGCTGCAGGTAGGGAGAGGGGAACTGAGGTCATCTGCATGCCATGGTACAATGCTGTGAATGTAAAAGCTGTTCTGTTCTATTTTGTTTGTCATTTTTGTATCTGTACAGCAGCCATTCTTTTCAAATTTTCCTCATAATAGGTAGTAGAAAATTTAAGTACTTAAGTTTAAGAACTTCATACACAAGTGTAGGGCAGATCACTAAAAGGTTATTATGAAGTGTCTTTCACACCAGGTACTTAAGTATCCTATTTTGAGTGTGATGACATCAGTCTACTATTCTAACACACTACATCTTGTTGAACAATTAAATAAGGTGCCAAGAATCACACCAGCTGTAGACTAACAACTATGTTTAGATGCGCTTCAGTCTTATGCTACTGTAGCTTCAGCTATGTTTGTAGCGTGAAGTAGAGCAGGGTCTCTGACCCTGAGGCCAAGAGACACCAAGTGGTCACACTTGTTTTGCACAGCACTGATCCCTGAGCCTGTTCTGAGTCTCATGTGCTATTGTTGTGGTCCTAAGGCACTTTGGTTTTGCTTCAGTGTTTCTGCACTAAAGCATTGCAGCCGATCAGAGCAATATTTTCATAGTGAGTGAGTGAGGGTATGTGTTTCATGGTACACATTTCATGCTGTATGTTAGGGCGTGAAGGGTGGCTTTGAAGACTCAGAGCCTGTTGACATGGTGTTCAGAACTATGCAAGGTGGAGAGCCAGATCTTGTAGAGTTTGAACCACAATTGACTGCTGGAAGTGGTGCCGTGCAAGTTCTGCTGCTCAGGCTATGCCTGGGTAACATCGTGGGGAAGCCAAGCTGGCTCATTCTGAAACCAGGCCAGAACTCATGCTTGAACCTAAGCACTGTGTACAGTCAGTTTGTCAGAATTCAAGTACCCTCCCTTCCCTATGCCCATCAGTACAGCTATAGTTCCTATGTATTGCCCCTCTCCTAACAACCTCTGTGGTCCTCTGAATATTTACTGGAGGTAGCTTGAATCCAGTCTAAAAACTGGGAAAAAAAAAGTACTCTCCTTAAAATTAAAATTATAGAAACTGTGATTTCTAGGACAGGTGGAAAG